AGCAATAGGGAGCCCTGGAGACAGAGCCATTAATGAATGAAGTGTCTAACATCCTAGGCCAAAGCTAGATTTGTAGCCACTGAAGTAGATGAAAGCAGCTCACCTCTCTCTTTTCTACCTCCCCAAAAGAAAGCTAAAACTTTCTGGCCAGAGGGGTTGAGAATCAGGGAGAAAAGTGCCTGTTTGGGCTCAATTTTTACTTTGCACTGGAGCTTGCTTGAGTTCAGAATCACATACCACATCTTCTCTGTGCCTCGCAAGACCTCAGTCATGTCTTCCACGCTACTTCTAACAAACAAAAACTGAAAGACAGGGCTGAGTCAGTTTAAAGAGAGCCTGATGCCCCTGATATGCACCCACACCTCTGCTCAGCAAATCAGGCTGTCTGGAGACTGAATGAGAATGTGTTCCTCTGCCACAGAAGGCCAGTAAGATAAAAATAACCCCCAAAAGCCTACATTCAGCTTGGAAGCACAGTGCTGAGCCAGGGACAATGATAATAGGAAAACACAATAGTTCCTCAGATCAGCCCTAAAATAATAGATTATAAATGGCAAAGGGGGAGGAGAAGGGAGTGAGGGCTATTTTATCACTATTCTAAAAGCAAATTGGGATTCACTTGACAGACCGTTCTCAAAAGCCAAAATGTGCTAAATATAATGCTGGATTTCCCAAAATACAAAACATGACAGCAAGAGTCCCTTGGCCAGCAACTTTTTAATCGATGTGCTCTTTTGTGCCCCTCCTTTTGTTTAGCCTTTGCCCCATGATGGTTATTTGCCTTTCTGGAGAGCTTAATCAGGAGCTATTAGAGACAGTTGCTCTCTAAGCTGTATAACATTAGAAATCCATTAGCTCACCCCAAGCAAGGCTGGCAGGAGGGAGATGATGTACTTGCTGAAGTTGAACAAGCTATTTGCGTGCTGAATACTTCTAATCACTGAGCAATGCCAGGAGAATGTGAACATTATTACACTCATCTGCCCAGTGACCTTCCAAGCACACTTTGTTTTAATACGAAACAAAGTGGCAGAACTGAACCCGCAGAAAGGGACAGATGGATGTTTTTAAGCAATTCTAGGCACCAACTGTGCACACCTTTTAAAGAAATGTTTTTTAGAAATAATTGTTAGCAGTGTCTGTTTTTCTTTCCCTCTGCTACATTTGCTAGTGTTACTTTTGGTCTGATCACAATGAGCTTGATCCAGCAAAGTGCATATGCTTCATTTTAAGGATATGGACTTAAAGCACAAAGTCCCAATGGACTTTAATGGGATTTGGGCCTTGTCTTGTGACCCTCCAGCCCCAACCATCACCTCCTGGATGGACACTTTTGGTCTGATTACCCAGCTGTCATGTGCATTCATCACTATACAGCAAGCATATTTATTTAGGTGAGACACCTATATAAACCTTTGTTGCAGACAAGTTTTCAGAGGCTGCAGCTGAGTGGAGCTGGATTAAGGCACCAGTCACAGCATCTGGAGAGCAAAGCAATGTGACCTTCAGGAATCTGGCTTTCTAAGGCTTTTAACTAGTAATTTTTCCTTGGATCCCCAGATTTCCCAGAAAATTTAAACAAGTGATTGGAGACCACTAGCTATGGGTGCAATCCTGGCAGTGGGACAGCATCTTGCACAAAGCCAACTGGCCCATACTTCTTTTTGAGCACAGTGACTACAGAGTGTTTGGGGATCATTTCATAAAGCTGGTCATCTCATGTCAAGAGTGACTACCATCTTTCAGTGCCTGTTTCAGTCACTGACCTGCCAATCTGTAGCAGACACAGGCCTGTCTCACAGTGTACTATACCCTCTATGAAGAGATGACAAAGTGTAAGGGCACAGAGCTTAGATGTCTTTGTTGAGCCCAGAACCATCACAGCTGCCAAAAGAAAGTTGTTCTCCACTGGAATATGGTAATCAGGGAAAGGGCAAGAATTTAGATCAAAATTAGCATTATTTCTCACAGTGACAGAAGGACAACATAAAAGATAGACCACTAAAAAACATTTCTCTTAGCAGCTTTTGAGGACTGGCTTCTATTTGGGGCAGTGCATGGTTAAAGTCCTGCTGGTACTTTGCTGCAAAGAGCAACTCTGATGCTCAGTTGTAGTTTTCTGATTAGAGCACCAACATTTCTCCAGGCTAGAGTATTGGAAAATGTGGAGAAACCGATTTATCACAGCCAGACAAAAGTGACTGAGGCCTCACATAACATGCTTGAAGGAGCAGAGACTGCAGGCTTTCACAAAACTCCTGGCCTGTTGTTCCCTTCTGCTCTGAAATGAGTTTTCCTCCAAACACAGAACAGAGAGTACCTCCCCACTGATTGGTGGTTTTGTCACCTCTGCAGCAACTCAGCTGTCCACCTGGAGAAGTGACAGGTTTTTCAGGGTGTCCCAGAAGTTATACTAACTGGATCCAGTCAAATTAGCTGCTTCTTCCATTGTGCTACTGGCCAAATCTTACCTGCCACAGCAGTGGGTACAGAACTGAAGCTCCCACGGAGACACGGGCTCACAGCACTGACTTGTCTCCTCTTGACATCAGTAGGGAAGATGCCTACTTTGCTAGTTTAAAGCAAATCCCCTCTTATTCCAGTGTTTGTTAGATTGAGGCAAGTCTTTAACCTCATGGGACTGGTGTGAATTACTTTCAAGAACTCCTTATTAGGAAAACCACCATGGTCCCCTTGAAACTTGCAGGGAGGAGTGAAGAATAAGAGGTCATCGGTATCTAAACCCACTGACTACTTTGAAATCCCACATAGAGGCCTATGCATTTTGCAAGTCTGTCTCAGAATATACTCAAAGGCAAGAGGGGACAATAGAAGAGGAAGAAAATAGAGTCTTTGGTGTTCTGATATACAAAGCACACATCAGCTCTCTGGGCTGGCAGCCTGCTTCATTAAGTTGAACTGCAGTGTGTGAAGAGGAACAAATACCAGACAGACTCAAACCTACTGGAGATCAGGATTCTGCCTCCCTGGAAGACAAATGGCTCAGGCAAAGGATCTAAGGTTCTTGCAGACCTACCTGGAAAACTGCTTTTCAGTTCAGTAAAAAGCCAAGCCTCCTTGTCCCCCACAAAAAATAATGCCCAACACACACAATGCAGGAAGAACAAGATGGATACTTTTCAAAATGTTTTTTTAATTAAAACAAAAAAAAAAAAAAAGGAGCACACACCAGAGCTTGACATGGGCTAGTCAAACTGCTGGTCACCAGGATGTTGACTGGCATGAGGAAGGCTGTGTTTCTGCATATCTCAGGAGCACCGGCACAGACACTGGCACTCCCAGCAAAGTAAGCACTCTGCCTGCCAGGCTACTGCTGCTTTGTGCTGAGCAGATTTCTCATGTGGTGATGGGAAACTTCATCCTGCAGCCCAGATTCTTCTTTCAACAAACAGAAGTCCCAGAGACTGGGGAAAAGACCATTTCAACAAATTTGCATTTTCCAAGCACTTCTGGAGAGGATTCCCAGTTGTTTCTCCTGCCTCCCCTGGCAGGTTACACAGGTTTACATGGAGACTCATCTTTGGCAATACCCACACAGGTAGGACCTGGCTCTGCTTCCGATGAAGTCAATACATGTCCTTCCCCAGACCATAACTGCAGCAGCACTGGGGCTCATGATCACTAGCCAATTGTGCTTAAAAGTTAAATCCTCATCCACTCCATCTAGACAGAAAATTCTGAGAGTTTCTTGTAAATGTGTACCAGTAAATTCAGGTAAATGTGAACATCTTGGCTACAGCAATGGGGTGAAGTTTTTAAATACGCCCAAGAGATGGAGGAGCCAAAGTTTCATTTTAAGACATGACTTGGGCACTAGACCAGGTATTGAAACCTCCCTGCCATCTAATAAAGCGGTTTCCAAAGCTGTTGGTGTGTTGCTCCACCAGCCTGGTTTCTCTACCAAAAAGGCTGGGCTAAAAAAGTGACACATTTTTCATACACAATTTTTATCGGTTAGAATTTACTAGATATGCACCTCATTTGTCTGTCAAATATTTTAAAAATACTTCAAACTGCTCTAATAGTCACATTTTAACACATGCATCAAGTTTGGATCAGAACAGCGTCTCTGGGATAATCAGTAAGCCCAAATTGCTGATTTAAGGCCTAAATATCAGTCACTGGCCAGCCAGCCACAATAAGTCACTCTATCCTTGAACTCTTGGAATTATTTTTGGCTCAGACTAACCCTTGTTACCATACATCTTATCCTACACACAGAAGAAAAGCATATGTGTTTTTCAAGGCTACTGTTGCACCACAAGTTTACATACAAACACAACTTTTGCAAACATGAGACCAGAGTAAGATCTCATATGTCCCAAGGTAAGTCAGAAAGTCCACAGGAGTCCAGGGAATGGTAACTGCCATAAAGGATCAGGCCTAATACATGCATTACAGAAGCAAGGTAGCTCCTTTGCTTGAGGTCTGGCTGATTCACTTTGCACATACCACTGCTTTAGCATTACATCCTTATCTAATGGTAAACCTGTTTCAACAACATGCAATACATATTAATGCAATATGCACTGCAACACACAATACGCATCCAAAGAAATATGCCAATGCAAAACTCTGACTGCTCACACATAGCCAGGCTAACAAGGAAGAGTCTTTTACAAAAGACAATCAAGAAATCACCTGAAACCATGAGACCTGAGGAGTCTCAAGCAATCAGCAATACTGAGACCTAATAACAGATGCAAATTCATGAAAGAAACACAAACAGTGGGACTGAGGTAATGGCAGAGATTTCATTAGTGCAATTACATTTAAAATGGTATGTTCTTTAATAGAATTTAAATAAGGCTTTGAATAATTACACACACTAAAACTAACATTCCATAACCTTATTCCGCATGGAAAAGCAGCAGAAACAACCCTCTGGACTGTACAAGGTCCAATTAATGAACAATTACATTCAAAAAGTAGATCAAAACAGAAAGA